GGAGCAGAGCACTGCCTGGAAAGATCACAAAAACCCACATACCCTACAGTAAGTTTAAGTGTGGTACTAACCCAGTGTTGGGACTGGAAAAGGATAGCATTCATCTACGATGAAAATCAGAGAAAGTCAACTTATTTCCTCAGTTTTTCTTTCACCTACCCTAGGCAAAATGTACATCTTGGTAGAAGGAAAGAGAAGTCAACACTGGCCAAATCTTGCTCTCTGAACTGAACTTTACCCCCCCCCCTTAACTCCAGGGCTTATCACCCCCCACCCTAGCCAGATATTCCTGACCTTCCAACTATATCATGCCTCTCAATGACCTATTTTCCCCAGCCCCCCTGGACCCCCAAATCTCAAGACCAAGATTTGGCTGCATCACTTATGGTCTTAGGGACTTCAGGTAATTTACTCAACCCTCCATCTGTAAAATGAGGAGGATATACCCCTCATAGGGCTGATCTGAAAGTTAGATTAAAAAATGCATATAATAGGGGCGCCTGGGTGGCTCAGTCGGTTAAGCGTCTGACTTCGGCTCAGGTCACGATCTCGCGGTCCATGAGTTCGAGCCCCGCGTCGGGCTCTGTGCTGACTGCTCAGAGCCTGGAGCCTGTTTCAGATTCTGTGTCTCCCTCTCTCTCTGACCCTCCCCCATTCATGCTCTGTCTCTCTCTGTCTCAAAAATAAATAAACGTTAAAAAAAAAATTAAAAAATAAATAAATAAAAAATAAAAAATGCATATAATATACCTAATACTCCTGATACTCTAGAGGCTCTCAGCAATACAGCAGCTTTTATTATTATTTTGCTTATTTCAAAGAGCCAAGCATTTTGTATTTAAAAAAAAACTGTGCAAATGTATAATCTATTACATTAAATGGTTATTAGATATGAATTAACATTTCAAATGTTTGGAAGATACCCAATTGTTAGCTCTCCAGCATATCCTTAAAAGAACCTTGTTTTTTCCTAAGACCCACACACAAAATGTATCCCATTGCTCCCACCCTATGTGAGCCCCCACCACTGGTTAAATAGGCTCAAAATTCAAACTTGTCTTTATATCTATGTAAAAAACATAATTAGAAAAACGACTAGAACCCCCCAAATCAGCTACCATTCAAATTTTTAAATGTGGAGATGTATTTACTCTGTGTTTTTAAATCACCTATATCCCAATGTCCTCCCTTTGATATGTTTTAAAAAGCACAATCAAAAGTTTATTAACTATCACCTCAAACCCTCAAATCCACCAGTAATAATGATTAATAGAAAAGGCCTTCCTGAAAAGTGCCACATTTGACTTTTTATAGATAGTTACAGAGAGTAAAAATAATGGGGGAAACTACACCAAGGTTAGAGGCCTATTTTTGCCCTTTGCTTTTCATGCTCAAGAATCCTAGAACTAATTCTAAATTGTGAAATGAATCTGTCCCCAGCCAGAGTAGCAGACTTAATGCACCATTAATCTGGTCTGCTCTCAGCTGCCAATTGAAATAGTCACAGTCCTTCGATTTTTAAGGAAAAGACAGTACTGCAGAAGTACATTCCAGAGGTCTTTTCACAAAGGCCATCCTGTGTGCTCCATCTGCACACGCAATCTGCTTGTGTATTTCCAGCCAGCTTGCATGGGCAGATTAATGCGTACAATTAGAAAGCAACCTCACAGGCATTCAATAAACTGCCTTCATTATTACACTCAGGAGAGTCCCTTTGGATGTCAATAAAAGCCTAGTTTTCTGCCTGTTAGCTAAATAATTGACAACACTAAAAATAATCAGAAGCAAATGAACGAAGTCAGGAATAAGGTGTTAAGAAAGAGCACATTAAGATTCTCATGGTGGCGCCCCAGGATACTATCGTGAGCTTTTTCTCCAGCAGCTTAGATTTATAGTCTGCTCAAGTCCATGGATGCACTCCTCTACAACACACACACACACACACACACACACACATACACACACACATACCACCATTCCTGGTCTGCTATTTGAACCACATATCACAGCATGCTGAAACTAGCAAGGACATGAGGTATTGACGGGTTTCAAAGAATTTTAGCTGTGTTCTATTTTGCGTTCCTTGGTTTGACAGCTTCAGGATAATGTAAATTTTTTGGTGGGGGAAGGGCGCATTGGGGAATGGAGAGTAGCCTGGTTGGTCTGGAGAAATCTTTGTGCTATTAAAATTCTAACAGTTTAGGGCGCCTGGGTGGCTCAGACGGCTGAGCGTTCAACTTCAGCTCAAGTCATGATCTCACAGTTCGTGGGTTTGAGCCCCACCTCAGGCTCTGTGCTGACAGCTCAGAGCCTGGAGCCTGCTTCACATTCTGTGTCTCCCTCTCTCTCTGCCCCTCCCCCACTCACGCTCTGTCTCACTCTGTTTCTCAAAAATAAATAATAAATGTAAAAAAAATTTAAAAAACAATCCTAACAGTTCTTCTAGGCAATTTTTGTACCATAAAAAATCGATTATAAGAAGGTATGATAAAGGCTTGTTATACAGAGGGTCCATGTTTTCCAAGGAGTCCCTTTCATATTTCTAGCTATATAATGATCATTCATTTCATGAGCTATTAGTCTTTTAATTTCAAAAGTAGATCAAAACAAAATACTCTTAAAAAAAAAAACCCCTCACATATATTTTTTATGTTTCTCAATACGCTTTAAAAATCAATTTGAGATACTTCTCATTTTTACTCAACTCCTTTTTCCTGGTTAACTGGGACTTTCATGATAAGCAGAAGAAAGAGCAAGAGTGAAATGTGCGTGTAATTGAATTCAGCTCCACTGATGGTATAGGAGGCGGCTAAGGGTAAAAATTTTTCTTCAGAGAAAAAGGGTGATTGATCTCCAGTGTTTAGTAAAACACACCTCAAGAAGCTGGAAGACAGGGCGTCTGGGTGGCTCAATCAGTTAAGCGTCCGACTTCAGCTCGGGTCATGATCTCACAGTTCGTGAGTTTGAGCCCCGCACGGGTATCTCTGCTGCCAGAGCAGAACCTGCTTTGGATCCTTTGTCTCCCTCTCTCTGCCCCTCCCCTGTGCACACATGAGGTAGGGGGAAGGGGGGGTTCTCTCTCTCTCTCCCCCTTCCCCTCTCCCTCTTTCCACCTCTCTGTCTCTCAAAAATAAAAAATAAAACAAGCTGGACTATGAAAGAAAGGTGACTGAGTATCACAACCTCCCATGTCCTTTCAGACTCTGAGAACCTCTTATTCTCCACTTTACCATGTTTAAAACTCTCCAGAGAATGGGTTTGTTCAACTTCCTTGTCCTGTACTTAAGACCCCTCGTTGGCAAGCAGGCCTTCCCTTCTCCAACCTAAAACTAGAATGACACGGGGATAAATACATTTGTTCTTATTGTGTCTCTAGGCTACAACTGTACCCTTATTTCCTTCAACTCCTCTGGTTGGCCTAGAAATACACTCATCCATCCTCTAAGCAATGAAGGGAAAGGCAATAATATACCCTTAATCTATTGCCTCCCTCCTGCCAGCTCTAAGACAGTTCATCTTTCCTGGTATTTAGCTTCCCACCAGCTCCCTCACTCCCATGCCTATCTTAGAAGAACAGCGGGGAAAGACACGCTATGGAATCAATGACTCAGATGAGGGCAATGCCTATATTAACTTTAAAAAGATGACGTTACTCATTGGCACTTGTACCCAACCCACCCCATCTCCCATTTTGTGGCCTGGGTAGCAGAGGCCAAGTAACCTAATTTGCCAAGAAGCAAAGTAAAGCACTGAGAAACTTCTTCCCACTCCTCTCTCTGAGACTCAAAGCAAGGAGGAGCTGCTTAGGATAGAGGCAGGATAATTGTGGCGGAAGGAGAAAACCAGAGGACCCTGTACTTAGAAGAGCAACACGCATTAGGGCGTCACATATGCTCACCTCCACATTAGAATGATCTGAAATTCTGAAAATGAAATAACAGAAAAGAGAGAACAGGAGGAAGTCAGATGATAATCCATCTGAAAGTGGAAGCCAGTTGCTAATTCTGGGTGGGACCAGAATCACTATCCAGTCTCTACAAAATATAAGTTGGCTGATCCATTCAACAAGGACTCCTGTAAGTTTCATTTCTGTCTCCATAGAATTCAGGCACTTTTAAGCCATTTATGTAAACTATTTTATTTCATCCTTACAAATGGCCTATGGGAGAGATACTGGCATCCCTATGTTTTTATTTTTTATTTTATTTTTTATTTATTTATTTTTAATATATGAAATTTATTGTCAAATTGGTTTCCATACAACACCCAGTGCTCATCCCAAAAGATGCCCTCTTCAATGCCCATCACCTCCCCTCCCCTCCTTCATACCCCCCATCAACCCTCAGTTTGTTCTCAGTTTTTAAGAGTCTCTTACGCTTTGGCTCTCTCCCACTCTAACCTCTTTTTTTTTTCCTTCCCCTCCCCCATGGGTTTCTGTTAAGTTTCTCAGGATCCACATAAGAGTGAAAACATATGGTATTTGTCTTTCTCTGTATGGCTTATTTCACTTAGCAACACACTCTCCAGTTCCATCCACGTTGCTACAAAGGGCCATATTTCATTCTTTCTCATTGCCACGTAGTACTCCATTGTGTATATAAATCACAATTTCTTTATCCATTCATCAGTTGATGGACATTTAGGCTTTTCCCACAATTTGGCTATTGTTGAGAGTGCTTCTTTTCAAATATTATCTTCCTTATATCAGTGTTTTGAAAGTCAACATAATCAGAAGTACCTTGGATTGCCAAAGAATCAGCCCTCCAAGTTATTTAGAATCAAGGATTTCTCAAATTTAGCAGTATTATTTCAAATCGATGAAGAATACTCTGGTGAGTACAGAGGTATCCAACCTCAAACCTTACATAATGACAGAGTTCAATGACATAATTAATATAACAGCCCATAATCCAAAGCAGAGGTCTTGGAAAGTTACCTAGAATTCAAAAGCAGAGTAAACAATGTCTTAAAGGTACAAAGTTCTGAAGATACAAACTTACTACTGCTGGTGCTCTCTAAATGCTTCTCTTCTGAGGTTTTCTTGAAGTCTTTTTTTCTCCTCTAGTTTATTGCTCTGAAATTGCAAGTATCAAAATGCAATCTATTAGGGAAACTTGAGGCAGAATCGTGGTATTAAAGTTATCCAAGGTCCCAAATCCTTAGGTTCAAGTGGCCTCAGTTATTCAATTTGGTACCTACCAGGGCTTCCAAGATGTGCCCTTTTTTCTTTTTCTTTTTCTTTTTTTTTAATATGAAATTTATTGTCAAATTGGTTTCCATACAGCACCCAGTGCTCATCCCCACAGATGCCCTCCTCCACACCTATCACCCACTTTCCCCTCCCTCCCACTCCTCTTGCCCCATTAACCCTCAGTTTATTCTCAGTTTTTAAGAGTCTCTTACGGTTTGCTCCCAGATGTGCTCTTTCAACCCACGGTCACTATTTACTGAAAGTGAGGAGTCCCAAGTTCCTTCCATGGTTCCCCTCTCCCAAATTGATTGTTATAATCGCAGAATCAGTATTCACATTTTTATTCTTTACTTCAAATGATAGCAACATTTATATTTTAAGAAGTGTTTTCAAGATGTTTTAAGGGAGACATGAAATTTCCACACCAAGTATGTTAAATGAAAATTATAAGCAATGGTTAAGTAGTTCATAAAAAATTTATACATATAAACCCACATCCCACTAAAGCATTCGGAAAAAGATTTTCAGTAAGCCAACTCAAGTCCCTTCTGACTCAGAATCATATACTTAAAGCTGTTGAGAGACTGAACAGCAAATGTCATAAAAAATGGAATGGAAAAGAGTTCTTTTTTTTTAATTAGTTGTTTGGAGAATCTAGAAACAAAGGACTTCATATTTGAGATTACAGTCACCAAGGCTCTGGCATATTTTAATCCAATTTAAATAATCCTGGAGCTTTTTGTTCACTATGACATAAACTGTTGTGTTTTTGTTTTTTAAAACTTGCCTATGAAAAACAAGTAAAGTTCTTAGAAAACAAGCTTAATGGGGAGTTGAAACAAATTCTACAACACAGGAGAGACTTGAAGTTTTAAATGAATCCAAGGGAGACAGCAAGCAGCTGGGTTTGCTTTAATAAAAGGAATTGGATTTTCCTGGCAGGAAGACCTGTGAAAAGGGAATAATGGAACTCATCATTTCTAAACCCTGACATTAGTTTGGCTCCCATCTTTCAAAGAGGGGGGAAAACAGTTCATATTGTTCATTTCCATGAAAGTCTTCATTCACACAGAACCATTTACTGGTCCCATTTTGAAAGGTGAAACAGAGGATTTCAGTTTCAGGAAAAAAAAAAAAAACATAAAGGAAATTTACTGCCAAAGGAACCAATTAGAATACAAAGCAATTGGATTATTAATTAAACAAGTTCTAGGAAGCAAACAAATAGAGAATTGTGAAAATAAATCAACAGGATCTCAACCTAGAAAAAAATCCTGACTCATGAGACCAAAAGGGTGGACTGCGAGGAGCCCCTACATCTCTGGAAAAAAGTGGGGGGCGGTAAAAGACAGTAAGCACGCAGTAGGTATTCATTAGCCTACTGTTAGAAATGCTACTTCAAAAATGGCAAGAAAACCACACAAGGATCTGCAGACCGGGGCTCCTTTAGCAAGGTCACAAAATGGAAACCCAGTTTTAATCTTGCCACTAATAGATTAGCATTGAATTCAACTCATGAATAACTGATAACTTTTAACTCATGAGTTATTCAGTAGCTAAATTCTGTCCAACAAAGGTCTGTTTATCTCTCAGAGGTTGATGGAGAAGTACTGCAAAATACCAGAGTATCTGCAAAGAAAATTATAGTCAATACCTAACAACGTAGGAGCTGTTTTAGTATAATAATCCAAATCCTTAAGTTTAGCCATACTGTTTAGGTCTTTTCATTTTTCACAGAGTAGAAGTCATCCAACCATACTTATACATATATACACAAGTATAAAATGTCTAGAAGCATGGGGTCTAAAAGAAAAAATTTTGTGGGGCGCATGGGTGGCTCAGTCGGTTGGGCGGCCGACTTCGGCTCAGGTCAAGATCTCACGGTCCGTGAGTTCGAGCCCTGCGTCGGGCTCTGGGCTGATGGCTCAGGGCCTGGAGCCTACTTCTGATTCTGTGTCTCCTTCTCTCTCTGCCCCTCCCCCCTTCATGCTCTGTCTCTCTCTGTCTCAAAAATAAATAAACGTTAAAAAAAAATTTTTTTTTTAAAAAAAAAAAAGAAAAAATTTTGTAACCAGCTCTAGATCCATCCTCACCGAGTGACCTTAAACAAATCATTTAATATTACCAAATCTCATTTGCTCAAACATTTATCAAATGCCTATTATATGCTTGGTCCTATGTTAGATGCTGAGAATACATATGAGCAGAGTAGTGCCTCCTCTGGAAAATTTCAGAGGCTAGCTGGGAACACAGACAAGGAACCAATGATGACAGTCTGTAAAATACGTTGGGGGATTAGAGGTTTGCAAATAATATGAACAGAGAAAAAGCACGGAAGTAGGTACTCTCTCAACAGTTCCATGAACATTCATTCAGCGTCTACTAAGTGGCAGACCCCACCCTGGGCACAGGAGCCAAGTTGACTGACATTCAGAATGTAGTTTCTAACCCCTGGGTTCATGATGAACTCTGTTAAGAGTATGCTCATTTCTACAGAGAGTGGGCTCATCCATAGCTTTGTTCAGATTCACCAAGGGGTTAATGACCAAATTAAAGGATACGAACCATGGTCTAACGAGAGGTAGAAATTCTAGACAAATCTAAGCAAGTTTTCCAAGAGGAGGAAGAGGTGATGGGAACAGGGCTACTTAACCCCATTGTACAGGTTGCTCACTACCCATGGGGCCGGCAAAGGGATTGGGGAGCCTAAAGGACGGCTGGCATTCAGCTCACCAAACCCTAGATCCCAGCACAGGGTGCTTCAGCGCAGCACAAGTATCTTTTTCTATGTTCCACAAAAGTACTATCAATCACCAACCTGAGCACCCACAGAACTGACCACCTGGATGAAGAATCTGCTTGTAATTTGCACAAAGGCAATGATGGGCTAGTGGTGGCCCCGGAGAGGGAAGGGATATTCCCATAACTTACAATTTTGTCAATACACAAAGGCATGAGAGAATTAGCCAATTTAAGGAAGCCTGGAGCAGCTCATGGATAAATTAAAAGGTGTTTGTAGTGACACGGTGGACGAGAAGGTTGAGGAAAAGGGAAGGGGTAGTTACAAAAGAATTTATATGCCAAGTGAAGGAGTTTGGGCTTCAGTAAAGGCAATGATGAGCCATTATGTTATTTTAAGCAGGACAGTAAGCAGCTCACTCTGGAAGCAGTGTAGACAAGTGAGCTGCAGAAAGCACCACAAACATAAAAACCAATGGAGCGGTTCTCACGGTAATCGGCCCATAAATTAGGAATCCCAAATTACAGCAACAGGGACAGAGAAGGACGGGCAAATTCCAGAAACATTCAGGGGCCAGATATAATAGGACAGGGGGAAAATAAGAGGAGGAGGACTACATCCATAAAGAATGGGTGAGGCAAGGGGGAATGGTACAGGGTGGCCATTAAGAGCATCAGAATGAACAGAAGTTTCATTTTGAACTTACTGGATTTGAGCCCTACTTGGGGAACATCTGGAAAGAACTATCGAGCATACGGTATAATACATGGTTCTGGGACTCAGGAATATGGGCTAGAGATACGGATTTCAAAAATCGCCAGCACAAGCAATAACTAATCCTTAAATGTGGAAAAGTGAGGACTTTCACCTAAGACTATGGTGGCACAGGCACAGGGATGAGAGACGACCCCACAGGTGGCACCTGGATAGAACATCAGTAGCAGAAAAACATGGGGGAAACGGATCTGGAAATCCAGAGGGGTAGAATTCGAAGGACAGAGTACTTAACAGTTATGATATTACAAAGAGTTTAAGTAAGGTAGGAATTAAAGAGTCTCCATTGTTGTTGGTGGTGGTGGTTTTTTCAATCAAGAGCACCTCTGGTGTTCTTAGCTAGATCAGTACTGTGGAGTACTAGAGACAGAAGTCAAACTCAGTCCACCAAGGAACAATTAGAGGGGAGAACACAAAGACAGCAGGTTCCTAGACCGGCTGCGCTCAGCATCACCTAAGGGACATTTTTTTTTAAAACAACAGATTCTTTGGTTCAGGTGATTGCTAGAAGTCAGTCCACAGACTGGCACTTGGGAACCAAATGTGGTAGAAAGGCCTTCAAGCAGCTGACCCACGATGATGTGTGGCACAGAGGAGTTGAAAGGAAACCAGAACAGGGAGAGATCCTTTGTTTTTAAAAGAAGAGATTTGAGCAGGATTTTACACCAAGAGACTGAGGGAGTGGGGGTGGGACAGGGACAAAACAGGACAAAAGGAGGCTTAACCGATGGGGCAGCAAGGTTCCTGAGGAGATGAAAGAGGAGAAAACAAACACAGGTGGAAGCATCTATCATAGCAATGAAGAAAACCCTTTCTTATTTCTCCTGAGATGGGACAGGAGTAAAAACAGCGAAGGAAGAGTAAAGGAAACAGGAAGATAAAGGTGCTTATGCCTGATGGACTTTTTTGCCTAGCAAGTGAGAGAGGAGATCGTGAGCTGAAAATGAAAGAAGACAGTAAGAAGAACATGAGGAGAGGAAGATCTTGGCACTTAGGGGTGGGCCAGGAATGCAGAGTAGGTATTGTTAGAGACCCAGCTGAGCAGGAAGCCCACAAATCTGGTGGGGCAAAATTACAACGCACACACACATGCGCGCGCGCGTCATGTGTGTTTGTTTCTCGCCAGCAACCTCGTTCGTGTAGGTTTAGTAAAAATGAAAAAATGGAACCAATTCATATGTAACACAAGAATAATTCTTTGCCTTCCACAAAACAGCTTGATACAACAGACTCAAATGAGATAGTGTTAAAGCACTTCTTTTCCTTTACAATGAATTAGGTTAAGGAACCCCTAGTCGGTGATTACTACATACTAGGCGTTGTACTAAGGGCTTTGCACATACTGTATCCTCTAAGCCTTCCGGTCCAC